ATTGCTCATGGGGGGTATATTGCCATAGTTGCCACGCTTGGCGAGCGGGTTGGCAACCGCAGTTTTTGTTTATTGCATTTTGCCGTTACCAGGAAGATGCTGCTGCCCATCTCCTGCCTGTTTCCCTTTGTCGCCTTTTACGACACCCACGGGAAGATATGGGGTAGTGGATGTTCTTAACCGCCACTACACGGCACAAACAAAGATCATGTTTAATGTCCATGTCACACCTATGCCGGTAGTTGTTGGGAACACTAAGCTCGAAGTTGTTGACGAGTATGTTTACCTGGGACAAATAGTCCGACTCGGTAAGTCCAACTTCGACCGAGAGGTCAATCGACGGATTCAACTCGGTTGGGTAGCTTTCGGGAAATTACGACACATCTTCTCGTCAGGTATACCTCAAAACTTGAAAACGAGACTGTACACCCAGTGCGTGTTGCCAGTGATGACATACGGAACTGAGACGTGGTTCTTCACTGCTGGCCGGATGAGGAAGCTCAAGGTCGCTCAGCGAGCTATGGAGAGGGCTATGCTCGAAGTTTCTCTGCGTGATAAACTCAGAAATGAGGATATCCGCAGTAGAACCAGAGTGACCGACATAGCCCAACGGATTAGTAAGCTGAAGTGGCAATGGGCCGGCCATATAGCTCGAAGAACCGACAACCGATGGGGAAGAAAAGTTCTCGAGTGGCAGCCTCGTACCGGCAGGCGAAGTATAGGGCATCCCCCCACTAGATGGAGTGACGACCTGGTAAGATATGCAGGAAGTCGATGGATGCAGGTGGCTCAGGACCGTGCTTTGTGGCATTCTTTGGGGGAGGCCTATGTTCAGCAGTGGACTTGTGAAGGGCTGTAATAATGATGATGATGAATACTGTGTACTGTCGGTGGCAATTGTTTGTACTGTCTCCTGATGAATTTAGTAATAATATAGATATTTATTTGACACTTCTATTTTTATATTACAATAACATAAATGAACCTTGACTTTCTAACTGCACGGCTAGCACACAGGTCACATAGTATGCGGGAGCCCATAGGTAGTATTCATTTTATCCAGGGGGAAAGGACAAAATGTTTACCCTCGCTCAGTTTTATCTACCCTTTGAGCACATACATTGGTATGGTGTGCACATACCAGTGGAAATAATATCTACTGTAAATAAAATAAGAGATATACTTATACCCGCAATTATTGCTATTATAAGAAAAATCTAAAATACTACAAAATTTATGTCTACTCTAAATCACGAAGTCATTATTTTTTAGCAATCCGAAAGGTAGGATTGAAACGTGGGATCTTTTATCGCGACTACAATAGATAAAATCTCACTCTAACTCTAAGACTCTTGACTCTTGTTGTCGTTCCTTTTTCTAGCATTAGCTTTACGCTTATTTCTAGGGGAAAGGGAATATTAGTCATGAATATAACACTATTATATATATCATCTTTACAGTCCTTCACAAGTCCACTGCTGAACATAGGCCTCCCTCAAAGAATGCCAAAAAGCACGGTCCTGAGCCACCTGCATCCATCGACTATATATATATATATATATATATATATATATATATATATATATATATATATATTATTATTAAGAAAAACTTCATTATTAATTAAGGTTTTAGAAATACTCTAGAACTTGTTTCTTATTACTAGTTGAACATTTATTTTAGACCGCCCCTTTTTGTTATTGGGGCTGTCTTAAAATAGTTAAGGTTTTCTTTTAGAGATATAAAAAAATGGAATACCTTTATTTTTGCAAACCAACTTAAATTCTTCTCTGCCCTCTGGATTGATACCACAATTATATTTAACGCATAGCGGGAGTGCACCTACAGATTAAGGAAGCCAGTACAATAATAGACTGTGAGACATTTCATTACTGACCTAAGGGATAACAAAGTATATGTAGCCTTCATTGTCTGAAGTTGCTTGCAGGTGTACATGCGCTGCAGTTGTGGTGGATGGATGGTGGCTACCATTACCAACAGGAGACTCTTAGGCTATTTGTTTATTTAATTAAAGAAAAATGGTATCCACTTTAACTTTATTTCGTGGTGGTGGCTTGATGGCATCCATCATTCCATTTTCCAGTATTGTCGTAAGATCCGATTACGGGATATAATCTGCCAGAAAAATTTTAAGGCTTCCGATATTTGGCAGTATGACCATCTCATTTACTGTTACCGTTACAGTCTATCAAAAGTCCACTGCTGAACATAGGCCTCCTACGAGTACATATATTGCTTCATAGGGTAGATATTTGCCATCATCGCCATGATTGACAAGCGAATTGACAAACATAATTTTTTTTTTCCAGTTTTTATCAGAAAGATGTCACTGTCACTGTCTCAGTGAGATTTGATTTTTATATATTGCAAGATTTTGTCCGAATCTTAAGCTTTAATAAAAAACCTTTCATCAAAAGTTATACTACATATGATTATTATTTTTGTCCTATTCATGCGTTGAATGAAGCGGCCAGAATTATTCAGAGCAAGGAGCACGTCGTATACTTTTCAAACGAGCCACTCTACGCCACCTGTAATTCTATTTGACTTATTAAGTTAGTGAGGAGTGCCCGCTTTTCAGCGCATTTGGAAAAAATCCTTCTTGTCGCCTTTTCAGCTGAGTACTCCCCTTTGTTCATTAATAGATGAAATGGTCTGGTATAAAAGGAAGACGTCAATATTGTGAATGTATTTTCTATAAATATTTATTTAAAAAATTAGGAAATCCAGTTGGGCATGCACTAAGCGCATTAAAAAAATTACGTATAACATGATTATACGGAATTTTTCAAAGTAGTTTAAATACACACATGTTTTCTCTAATAACCTTATTATACTTCAAATTTTCCGATAATTTTATGTCAAACTTCAATTTAAAAAAAGTTTGGAAAATCCAAAAGTGCATGACACATAATGCTCATACGAGAGTGAAAAATTTAAAGAAAATTGTAATTTGTAGTTTCATTCGTCAAAGAATTCCAGTAGCCGTTAATACAAGGCTGCTTAAAACACCGAAAATTTCACAATTTCTTAGCCGAAAAAATTTAATTATAACTAAACAAAACAAAATTTAACTGCCATTTACATTCCATGGCTTCTCACATGATAGATGAAGAGTTTAAAAATAGATTGAGTAGAAAAATTGATATTTTCAAAAGTTATCGTGTTTACAAGTCTTGCGGACTGGATAAATCGACACCTTAAGCCACTAAAACTCATTTTTTTTTAATTTAAAAATAGCAATTAATATTAATAAGTTCAAAAAGCATTTATCTTTCTAAGAATGTACTTTTTATATCACTTTTATGTAGAATATGATTGCTAGATACAATTTCATGCGACAAAACGTTGGAATCTTAATGTGTCGGTATGCTCTACTAGGGCCTTTTTTATCGTGGGGATATCCTCATGGATACCTTCTGTTGCGGGGGCAACGGAAAGGTTATGCCGGACTCCTACCGGCCAAAACCCCACGGTGGTCTCCATCAGCGTATATGAGGGGTCCCGGGATCTCCGTTCGGAACGCAACCGGGGCCCCTCTCACGCTTTGCTCTATTAAAGCACGTCCCGGGGGCAGTCCTTACTACCCCCAGTACTCGAAATGCTATCACGGTGCTCGAGACCACTTTCAAGTCACCGTCCTCCTCAGGTGTTACATCACTAGATGCTCGGGGCCCCCGCCCCGAGTGCCCGTAACCCCCGAGGCCCCGTTTCTGGTAGGGGAACACCATCATCAAGGGGAGGGCCCTGAAGAACGCCTTGGCGGCGTCGTCTTCGAGCGGGATCTGTCCTCTCCCGACACCGCTCAGCAGCCTCCTTCTGGATCATAACGGATTCACAGAAGGTGGCTACGGCCCTCCACGCGGAGTCCCTGCTCAGCATCGCCGACACGACTGCCGGCAGGGAGAGGTTCTGACCGATCCGGCTTACCAGGACCGTCCTCTCCCGTTCCCACGCTGGGCATGTTGCCAGCGTATGGGATGCGGAGTCCTGTACCTGCCCACCGCAGTGGAAACAGTTCGCCGTAACTTCCCGTCCAATCTTACACAAATAATCACCGAAGCACCCGTGCCCGGTCTTTATCTGTGTAAGTCTGTAGGTGACTCTTCCTGTTCTTCGATGCATCCAGGCTTCAAAGTGCGGCAGGATTGCTCCAACAACGCGTTTACATGCATAACGGTCTTCAGAGAGGCGAGCGCGCCACGTTTCGAATGCACGAATTAACGCTGACCTGCCGCTTGACCCCTTCGAACACCTCATCTGGCTCACTCCCGACGCTCTGGCAGAGGACACGCATCCGGTGGTACACCTTCGCATCCATGTCCGCCAGTATGTCCAGAGGTGGGAAGCAAGCCAGGAGTGTCGCCGCCTCAAAGGATATTGTGCGGTATCCTCGCACGATCCGTATGGCCATCCTCCGCTGCACCCTGTAGATTTTATCTCTACAGCGTTGGATGGCCAGACTTTTCGCCCAAACAGGTGCCCCGTACAAGGCTACGGACCGTATCACTCCTGCATAGAGGCGACGCACTTCTTCCCTTGGTCCGCCTAGATTGGGCAGCAGTCTATGCATAGCACCCGCTTCCCCGTTCAATTCGGGGGACAAGGCGCTCGAAGTGTTCTTCGAAGCCCCATCGACTGTCCAGGTGGAGGCCTAGGTACTTCATGTACCGCCCCACTTGGACTTCAGACCCACCTACGCGGACGCACGAGTCGGGTGGTTCCTAGCCGCGACGTAATTTATGGAACCATAGCGCCTCGGTTTTGTGAGGCGCTATTTCTAATCCCAACTCGTGGATTTTGGCGACGACGACTACCGCCCCAAGCTAGGTGAGCTCTTTGGCCCTCTCGAAGTTGGCCCCGCTGGCAACCACCAACGTGTCGTCGGCATAGCAAACGATATCTACGCCAGCGGGAAGTTCAACTCGCAGAACCGCATCATAGGCGAGGTTCCACAGTAGCGGCCCCAGTACCGAGTCCTATGGAACCCCACTTCTGATCTCCCTCCTGATCTTTCTACCATTTTGCCCCATGTACAGGATGTACCTGTCGCGCAAGTAGTCCCCAATAACACCTTGCAGGTAGGGGGGCACCTGATGGTGTGCCAGTGCGCTCCGGATAGCGCCCCAGGGTAGAGAATTAAAGGCGTTGACGATATCGAGACTTATCGCCAACGCCACACCACCCTGGGATACTGCTTGTTCCGACAGGGAGCGGACGCGTATGATGGCATCTACTGTAGAACGCTCCCGTCGGAATCCAAACTGACTATCAGCCAAATCGGGACCAACGCGCGACAGATGCCCGTTGAGCCGAGTGGCAACTATTCTTTCGAACAATTTGCCGATCTCGTCTAAGAAGCATATGGGACGGTACGCAGAGGGAGAATCGGCGGACTGCCTTCCTTCTTCAAGAGAATCAATCTTGCCTCTTTCCATGCGGTGGGGAACTTGGCGCTTGGCAGACAGTCGGTAAAAAGCTGCCTAAGCCCCCAGATTAGCCAGACTCAGCACTAGGACTCGACCCGGGATACCGTCGGGTCCCGCTGCAGTGTTCCGGGCTCTTAAGCGGCTAACGGCTCGGTCCAGCTCCTCCACGGTTACCGCCATCTCATCTTGCCACTCCCATGATAATGGCGGGTAGCTTGAGGGACTTGACCGGTCCTCTGGGAAGAGTGTGCTGATCACCCTTTCCAGCAGGTCTGGATCGAGAGTCTCCGTCAAGGGAGGTGACCAGGGCCGGAGTTTACCCAGCACCATTTTGTATGGGCGCCCCCAGGGACCTTCGTTGAGTCCCTCCAGGAGCTCATTCCAGGACCGAGACCTGGCATTGGCAATGGCGAATTGCACGCCTTTGTAGCCGCGCGGTATTGCCCCTAGAGTCTGGCTATCTCTTCAGGCGGAGCTCGCCTTCTCCTCCTTCGGGCTCTGGTATACTGGCGCCGAGTCCGCAGACAGATTGCACGGAGCCGTGCGATTTCTGCCGACCACCAGTATACCACCCTACGCTTGGGGCGACTGGTTCTGGGCATCGGCAAGTCGCATATTTGCGTCATCGTGCCTCGAAACCAGTTTGCTTCCCCTTCCGGATCGGACTCAACCTCTTCAACTTTTTCTGGTCATGCCGCGACGATGGCGGCGGCTTCGAGCTTGTCTCTATCTAGTCGCCTGAGAGACCAACGCCGCGGTCGACTGCCTTCCCGGCGGCTGGAAACACTGGCAGGCTGGCGAAGTGTGACATCGAAAACGATGTGCCGATGGTCGGACAATGTGACCGCCTCCTCCGCCACTCGCCACCCTGACAGTATTTGCATTGCAGGAGGAGTAGCCCACGTTAGATCCACAATGGACTCCCCCTGCCATCGCACACATGTGCTTATGGACCCCACATTCGCTAGTCGGAGATCCAGTCCAGCCGCCCACTCCATTACGGTCTCTCCCTTCGGATCGTCTCTGGTGTTACCCCAGGCCCTGGAATGGGCGTTAAAATCTCCCAGGACGATCAAAGGACGGGGATGGCACCTGCGAACCCAGTTCGCCACCTCGTCCAGGTCCTCGCCTCGTAGTCGGCAAGGGACCTGTTGGGAGAGACGTAGCAACCGATTATGGCCATGGGGCCCCATTGCACTTCAACAAAGCCCTGCCCCCTTCTCAATAGAGCGCATGGTGGGGCACCCTCTCCGCGCCCCCGTAATTCATAGGCCGAGGTTCAAGAAGATCTACAGGCGCAGATTCCCAGCCTACGCGTACACGACCTTGGGCCAGGATCTTGCGGACTGCTGTGACTGGACAACGCACCCAACATGTCCCCATACTGGTGGGAGTTCGGCGAATTTCCCCAACTTTAACGTCATCCACCGTGCATCCTCCCACTGCACTTACCGCTGCCGTCACTTCCTGGGGCTCACCGCGTCGTCTAAGTCTTTTAATCGAACATCGCCTGTTTTGATTGCGCGACCAATGCGAATGTTCAGATCTGAAAGGACCTCCCTCATCGTCGCCGCCAGCTTCTGGCCACAGTCTGGGCCGGTAATTTCTAGCAGGAGACCTCCAGTCACAGCTCGCTTTTGGCGGAGACCCTCTATCCCAAGGTCCGCCAGCCAAACTGCGGACGACGGTGCACGGAGTAATCTCTTATTCTTGCCCTTGTCAGAGAGCGAGGGCTGAGATTTTTCGGCTGAAGGCTGTTTTTCGTGTCCTTTCGGCTTTTTCAACCTTCTAGTCACCTCTGCCCACGTTGTCTCCTTAGGCATTGATGCTATGCTCATTTCCGGTGCTGCCACTGGCGGCAACTCCGCTACGGGCTGGCAGGAAGTTCCTTTATTACGCTTTCTTGTCTTCCTCGTTTTATTCGACTGCGGCTGTAGCGGCTGCGGTCTATTCAACTCTGTTGGCTGTACTTGTGACGGCGGTGACGACTGCTGTGACATGTTTGCACTAGTACCGGGTTTTTTGCCTAAAGGAGGTCGAAGTGTTTTATGTGGAAAGAGTTTATCTTCGAAAGTAGCCAGTTTCCTCTCAATAAGAGCCCCTATTCGCTCCATTAGCTCATCCTCGCCCGTGTCATCTTTTGAAGAAACAGGAGCACTCCGAACAGGTGAAATTATCTTGCTCGTATTTGCCAGAGCTGGAACCCGTCCTTGATTGTGGAATATTTTCAGATAATCTGTTATTTTCTGCAGCCGCATTTCCAGATTGGAAATTTGAGAACGTAGGTCTGCGTGTTCTCTTTGCAGTCTCGCAACGTGTTCCTCGGTGTTGGTTCTCCTTAGGAATTCTTCGGCCGCAGCTTTTACGTGACACACAGCTAGCCTTAAGCCGCGAGCGAATTCTCCTTTTAAGTTTCGGGAACGATCTGCCACCATTTCGCCGACCTGGAGATGCTGGACCAGATGACCACTAAGTTGATTGATAGTGCGTTTCTCCATTTTGCTGGATAACTCCTCGAGGCCTAGTAGGTTTTTTATCGCCCTAGTTTTGCAAGGTGCAGGAGGGAGATCGAGGGTTTCCTCCTCTGTTTCCACCTCCGTGGCTATTTGCTCTTCCTCTGAAGTTGCAACCGATACTGCCTGATATTTGGCGGCTACATGTGCGGGGCGACCGGCTCTTCTTTTTCTTGTCCCAGTGTAAGACCCGTCAGTGACCGATGCCGGGAAAATGAGGGAGTCATCAGAACCCGCGCCATCGCTTTCACCAACTATACTACGAGGAGTATTAGGGCATATAGAACACCCGCGCCTGTCTCGTGTTAGCACCGTTGGTCCCTCTGACTCGGTTCCCTTATTAGTATAGCTTCCAGACGATGTTGCGGTGTTACCAGTTGGTGCTATTTCATCCCCGCCCTGTGGTGGATTGCTATTGGTCTTACAGGAACCCAACAGCTCCTTTCTTTTCAGTCTGACATCTAATTCAGACACAGATCTGTTTTCGACTTCTTGTTTTTTAGGTTTTCTTCTTTATTCATTTTTCATCCCATGAGTGTGGAGGAAATAAAAGTCCATCCGGGCAGCGCCTCCAGTACCCGAATAAACCTAGCGTAACCCGCCTAAGGTGTCGGCCGGTACCCCGACGGGGGCAACACTTGCGACTGACATTTACCTATCAGCCATGCAGCTCCTCACGGTGTGCCACGCTTGAGCTTTGGGTGATTTTTTATAGAGGTTGTGATCCTCGCAACTCCGGGCGGTTAAGCCAAGAGTTCTTAGTTCCGAAGGCGCCGCGAACATGATCCACGACACGCCAGAGGGATTCCGAGTTTCGAACGGTGGCAGAGTTGATACAGGTTCTTCCCATGCCTGCCTAGTGACCGGGTGAGGGAACACTGAGCCCGCTCGTTTTCCAATTTTTTTAAATAGGGTATGAACCCTAGACCCTCCCGTCCCCAAACCCTTAACGACTGAGCACCCCCAGCCATTCACCCATCAGCACGCAAGACCTTAGGTTTGGGGTGATTTTTATAGAGGTTTTCTTCCTCGTGGCCCAATAGACCCTCAGATTCTAACTAGGGTTACAGGTTTGTTCGGCGCCGCCAGTAGCTGCGTGCACTTGGCACTTTACCGTACGTGTCACATCCACTGTTCTTCTCAATTGAGAAGATAAGGAGGAACAACATCAAGCCTCAAAACCCGCTTCTCGGAGCAATATGCTCGTGACCGTTTCTCAGTTCACCTAAGAACTGAGGGTACGCCCAAAACCCAGCCAGTTTTGGTCCGCGACGATTTCCCGCTGCCACTCATATCTGAGTGGAATTCCCCTATCCGCCAACCGGGGACGCGCCCGATGGGAGAACCCTTGTAGAACATACCGGCGCGCCTAGCGCTTACGGCATGCAATACGTTTAATTTTATTTAGATTAATATATTTATTTGCTGGAACCTGAACCTTAAACCATTTTTGCCTGAATTTTGCAGTCAAAAGTGGTTTTAACCGGTTATGTGTTTTGACTGTAACAACTTGCTGTCTGTGGAAACATCAATTTTACAAGCATTGTTCACATATTATGTCAAGTATAAGAATAAAATTTATATTAAACTTGCACTTATTCTTGGCAGACTGTAAATTACATGAAAACAAAAATAATATTTAGGTGACATAATAACCTAATGCTATAGTATTAGTACTAGTTTAATATACTAAAGACTTTTATAATTCTAATCATACATCTTCTATTTTTATACTTTATTTAAAGATAATAGACCCTGTTTCCGAAATTCGCGAAAAACTCAAATGGCTTCCGATCCGTCTTCGCAAGTAATCTCACGTTCTTTCTCTTTTATACTGTATTATTTTCAATCCTACTTCCCCTTCTTATCTTAAAGAGTGGTTTGAGTCTCTTGGTGACTCTCACTGTTGCTCTTTTCGCTCTGATAAAAACCTCACCTATAAAATTCAGTCCCATAATACTTTCTTCTATTCTAAATCATTTTTCATTAAAGGTGTTTGGCTCTGCAACTCCTTACCAGTGCACATTAGAAGTGCCCAATCTACTGAAAAGTATAAACACTTATCAAAGAGCACTTCTTTCCTCCTTAAATAGTCATTCCTCTATGTCTCCTTGACATCGTTAATTTAAAAATTACTACTTGTTTTTCCAAGCCGTGTAGTGGCGGGTAAGAATGCTCATGTCTTCCAGTGGGTGTCGCAAGAGGCGACAAAGGGAAACTGAGGTAGAATATAGACAGCAGCATCTTTCTGATAACATCAAAAAGGAATAAAATACTGCGGTTGCCAAGCCGCTCGCCAAGCGTGGCAACTATGGCAATATGGGGTATATACCAAGAGCAACGATACAAAAAAACGATCCCCCCGTCTCCGACGGCCCCGCAATTCCTGGCTACGGTGGTGACCATAGTATCGGGGCAGTGTGTATTATAAATAGTTCTGGTGGCGGTTCGGTTACCATGTAAGACAACTTGACCTGGCAACATGTATAACGCACG